ACCCGGCCCCGCCCTGTTACACCCCCAGCCCTGTCTTGCCCTTCCCATGACCCTGGGACACTCTCCCCCCACCCTCCCCCTACACCCCCTATTTCATTTAGCAAATGCCACATTCATAAAACAGTGTTCTACCCGGCCCCGCCCTGTTACACCCCCAGCCCTGTCTTGCCCTTCCCATGACCCTGGGACACTCTCCCCCCACCCTCCCCCTACACCCCCTATTTCATTTAGCAAATGCCACATTCATAAAACAGTGTTACTAGCTCCCAGGGTATTTGGTGTTCCTGCTCACAGCCTCAGAGCCTGGAGTTGTATGACCATGGGAGCATCTAGGCTCCCATTGAATTGTATGGGAGCACCCCATTACACTTTGGGGTGTTTTTAAAAAGCGTGCTCCTAGCCCTTGCACGTGTCCCAGATGTGCCTTAAATGCTTGAAAACAGAAGGCAAATGAAAAATAAACCCCAAATGTATAATTTAAAAAAATCATGATTTTGAGGTGCCTCACTCCAGATTTTTGAACACCTGGAATTGACAGTGCGGAAAAAGCGGAGGGTTGTTTTGAGCACTAAGTTGCTGTAGTTTTGAGGTGAAGTTTACTCCAGTACAGAGAAGTCACACAAGGCGGGGCACAGTACATAACCATGTTTAAGGGGGTTTCGGATGGAGAGCTTTTAACCGATGTTTCTAGATTCCGTAGCTCGTACTATGGTCACTGAACTAGGTGCTCACCACTTCTAGTGAGCTCGGGGACTCAAACTGGGATTTCCTCTTCTCTCTTCTACGTTCCCAGCTCCAGATAAGCTGCACGAAATTGCAGCCGCAGTGTACAAAAAGCTCGATGTGCTCTTGAGTAAGAAAACGTACCCACCTGGTAAGTTAGCAGACTTGCGAGAAGGGGCATGCGGAGTCCGGAAGGGTTGGTGATCTGGAACGGCTGCTGGCCTCCTGAAGAAGAGGAATGGATCTGGATGGTGGGGCTTGATCTCGGAAGGTGTCACATACAAACCTCCCTCAGACCTCATGGGGTCAGGGCCATGTGACATGTAATTTCACTGGTGTTGTTTTGCTGACAAAATATAAGCATTAGTATTATACCTTGAATGGGGGTCATTTCCGTGTGATGCTTAAGTGGCGAACAAATGGCTTTCATCCCTTTTTTATGCATGATGTCCGAAGACAGCCAAACGGTGTTTTTCCAGAATGATTTGATTTTTTTCCCCTGGAAAGATCGGGAATTCCTCTGGCCTTCCTTGGCTTTGCTAGAAGACTGGGGGATATTGGTAATGCAAGGCAGGAGTTTCCAGGCACATTCCCCCCCGTTATTTCTCAAGAGATGCCAGGGTTATGTAGGTTTTAGCAACAACAAAATAAGAGTTTTAAGCCATCTGTATAAAAATCACTTCCCACCTCATCACGTTTCACGTCTGTATGATCGGATATCATAGCCCAGGCTCCGAGGCCCAGACATCTGTAGTGCATCTGGGCGATGGGAGGGATCGCTTGAGGGTTCCCTGTTCTGTTCATTTCCTCCGGGGCACCTGGCATTCTGGAAAAACACCACACAGTGGGCGAGATGGACCGTTGGTCTGACCCAGCCTGGCTGCTCTTAGGTCTTCTAGGACAGTGTTTCTCAAACACCCAGGGGCTCCGTGGGGTTGACAAACTGGAAAGCCTTCAAAAGCATAATTGAGAATTGCCTTGAATTGACGCAATTAACACACACCGCTGGGGCTCTGCATACATTTTTACTCATGTAAGGGCTTCAGAGCCCAAAAAGTTTGAGAACCGCTGGTCTAGGAAAACAAGATGACAAAACTTTCATTTTCCGTGTTAAACGGGAGCAGGAATTTCCCCCTTTTTAAAACGTTCAAGCTGCTCATCTTCATCATAAAGAGTCACAAGCCAGAAGAGAATCCCAGCAGAGTCTTAGGGATGTGAATGGTTAACCGGGGAATCGGTACGCGTCTCCCTTGCTTGCTGATTATGGTTTAACTGGCTGGGGCTGGAGCAGGCCTTTGCCTGAGGCAGACAGGGGGCTGCTCCAGCTGAGACCGGTGTGCCATGGCCAAGGGCACTCCAGCCCGGCCTGGCGCACCACACACAGGGGACCTCCAGTTCTCCTGGAGCAGTCCCTGACTGCAGCGGACCCGGCCTGGACAGAGCCGTCTCAGGCCACGAGCGAACCAACCCAGCCGGAGCAACCCTTGGATGAGTCAACAGGGGGCCCTTGTAGCCAAGAGGGCGAATGGAATATTAGGCTGCATTAGGAGTGTTGCCAGCAGATCCAGAGAAGTGATTATTCCCCTTTATTCCCCTCTGGGGAGGCCGAACAGGCTTGAATGGAAGAAGCAAAGGCCGCTGAGGAAAGACCAGGATATGGAGAAGTGATTGTTCCCCTTTACTCAGTTCTGGTGAGGCCACATCTGGAGAATCGTGTCCAGTTCTGGGCCCCCCACTACAGAAAGGACGTGGACACATTGGAGAGGGCCCAGCACAGGGCGACCAAAATGCCGAGGGGGCTGGAGCATATGGCCTACGAGGAGAGGCTGAGGGACTTGGGTTTATTCAGTCTGCAGAAGAGAAGAGTGAGGGGGGATTTGAGAGCAGCCTGTAGCTGCCTGAAGGGAGGCTCCAAAGAGGCTGGGGAGAGGCTGGTCTCAGTGGGGGCAGGTGGCAGAACAAGGAGCAATGGGCTCCAGTTACACTGGGGGAGGTCTAGGTTGGATCTTAGGAAAAACGATTTCCCTAGGAGGGTGGGGAAGCCCTGGGATGCGTTACCTAGGGAGATGGTGGAATCTCCATTTCTAGAGGTTTTTAAGTCTCAGTCCTGGCTGGGATGAGTGAGTTGGGGTTGGTCCTGCTTTGGGCAGGGGGCTGGACTCGATGATCGACTGATGGATTTCGGGGGCACGACCAGTTGAACGTGAGGGGTTCCCCGCTCCCCTCGTTCTCCCCCATCCCCAAGATGGCACCCGTGCTGGCACTACAACCTCCTGCGAAAATGGAGGTAGCGCCGGCTTCCTGCGGCGGGTGGGGACATCCCACAGCTGTGCACCAGATCCGGCGTCTCAGGAAGCACGCGCACTGCTCCTCTCCTCGGGCAACTGGTGGTGGCTCTTACGCCGCTCCCAGGGTGGGCGGAGGTGGAGCAGGACTCAAGCCCACCATCCTGCGCTCCGCCGGCGAGTGCCCTACCCCCTAAGCCACTCCAGAACCCACACCCTAAGCGGCTCGGAATCCGCGAGTGGCTCTGCCCGGGAAGAACTGACGTGTCATTCTCTTTTTGAAGGGGTTCTCCCTCAGACCCTGGAGGCCATTTTTCAGAGCCAGATCCAGATGCTGCAGGGAGCGATCATTGAAAGTGAGTCATTTCCTGGTGCTCTCCGCACGCCATGCACTCTGCTGTGGCGCCGGGCCGTGGCAGAGAGCGCAGAAGGCAAGGCGGGATGTGGGGCACTGGTGGGGCTCACTGGCATTGTGAGGGGAGGGGGTGCGGGGCAAAGGGCTGCCAGTCTTGGCAGGAGGCTCTCAGGGAAGGGCGCAGGGGGCGTTACCAGACAGGCAGCGATCCCGCAGCACGGTGGGAAAGGGGCCAGTATCTGTGAGTCAGGAGCGGGCTGGGGGCCGGGAGATGTCTGGGCAGGACGACTCTGCAAGGCCATGGAAGATCATGGGGCCTAGCAGGGAGATCTCATCCTGGAACGTAGAGGGAAGATTGCTGAGCGGGTCGGGGGTGTTCTCCAGCTTCCCCCTAGTGCAGTGTTTCCCAACCAGGGTGCCGCAGACAATTGTCAGGGGTTCTGCGAGAAACTGTGGAATAAATAAATAAAAATGTTAAATAGCGCAAACAATTCCAAATATCACTCGAAATATCACGGGAATTTTTGTCCGGCAATTGGCAATACTGGAGTAATCTTCATACCTACCAACTGCCTCTTTGTTTTGTTTTGGTCAGTTCATCTCTAAGGTTATATTTAGTTGTATTGTGCCTGCCCTTCTGCTTCCCAGAATTCTCTGTGTTTCTAGTCTTTTCTAGTGCACGTTACGGTTGTTCGCTATTTTGTAGATTTGTAGTCTTTGCGCAGTTTTGTAATTAACATTTTTACCGAAACTGTGGTTGTTTTCGTGTATCTAAAATCTCACCTACGTAACAGTATTTTCATACGGCCGTCGAAAATAAAAGAAATGTGGAAGTGTATGAAAAGAAGGCATGTCAGTGAAGGAGAGGACAGTGAAAATGAATCAAAATGATCAGAGCCAAGTACAAATGAAACAGGAAGAGAAGTGACCGATATTAAAAAAAATTCACCTTTACAATGACAGTTACTTGGCTATGGGTTTTACATGGACTGGAGATGAAAATTGCCCCGTTCCATTGTGCATTGTTTGCGGGGAAAAAACTAACACACACAGCTATGGCCCTGGCCAAGTTAAATCGACACTTCACTACTAATCACGGCCACTTGTCAAATAAAACGGTTGATTACTCTCAACGACTTTTGGATTCACAAGGAAAACAACGTAAAGTTTTTGAGACGAAGGTAACAATCAGTGAAAAGGCTCAAGAAGCAAGCTATTTTGTAGCTGAGCTAGTTGCACAAAAAATGAAAAGTCACATTATTGCTGAAAGCCTAATAATGCCTGCTTGTAAAATAATAGTGAGTACAATGATAGGCAAAGAGGCTGAAAGTGAAATTGACAAAGTTCCTGTTTCTAATAATACTATTAGTAGGCGTGTGGATGACATGTTGAAGATGTCTTGTCTGAAATACTAAAAAATACTAACTTTGCTCTCCAAGTCGACGAGTAATGGCTACGTCTAGACTGGCATGATTTTCCGCAAATGCTTTTAACAGAAAAGTTTTTCCGTTAAAAGCATTTGCGGAAAAGAGCGTCTTGATTGGCACGGATGCTTTTCCGCAAAAGCACTTTTTGCGGAAAAGCGTCCGTGCCAATCTAGATGCGGTTTTGCGCAAGAAAGCCCCGATCACCATTTTCGCCATCGGGGCTTTTTTGCGCAAAACAGTTTTTAGCTGTCTACGCTGGCCCTCTTGCGCAAAAACATTTCTGGAAAAGGGCTTTTGCCCGAATGGGAACGTCAAAGCATTTGTGCAAGAAGCGCTGATTTCGGACAGTAGAACGTCAGTGCTTTTGCACAAAATCAAGTGGCCAGTGTAGACAGCTGGTAAGTTTTTGCGCAAAAGCGGAAAACTTGCGAGTCTAGATGCAGCCAACAAGTAAAGCTCAGCTGTTGACATTTGTACGATTTGAAAACGAAGGTGAAATAATGGAAAATTTTTGTTGTTGTAAAGAGCTGCTGGAAACGACCAAAGGTCAAGACATTTTCAACATCTTGTCTTATTTGGAATCCTGTGGTTTGTCATGGAGCCAGAGTATTGGAATTTGCACTGACGATGCCCCCTCAATTATCGGCTCAATAAAAGGCTTTGTTACACTCGTCAAAGAAAAAAGCCCTGATGTTGTAACGACCCACTGCTTCCTCCATTGGGACGTTCTTATTTCAAAACTATTGGGGAGGATTTAAAACAAGCCCTTGATGTAGCTGTGAACATGGTCAATTTTATAAAGCAAGCGCCCTCTTCAGTCACACATGTTTGCAAAGCCGTGTGAAAATATGCAGAAAGACCATGTGACTGACTCTCCTTCTACACACCGATGTTAGATGGCTTTCAAGAGGGAACGTTTTAACAAGGGTATTTGAGCTGCGAGAGGAATTTCTGCTTTTCTTCAAAGATAATAAAGCCAGTTTTTCTGATGTTCTTGGAGATACAAAATGGCTGCTGAAACTAGCCTACTTAGCAGATATTTATCAGCCCTTAAACACCTTGAACACCACCATGCAGGCCCAAAAGAAAACATTCTAAGTTCCACAGACAAACTTCTTGCATTCAAGAATAAACTCAAGGTTTGGAAAAGACACCTTTCAAGTGGAGATATTGAAATGTTTCCGCTCCTTCTTCAGTTTCAGAGTCAGACAGATTAGAAAGAAGTCATCCCATTAATTACCAGTCACTTGGAATCACTGCCAGAAAAGCTTGACCGATACTTTCCTTGTCATCAGAAACAGGGCTAGGAACCCTTTTGTTGAGTTCTCACAAATGCTCTCTGCTCTCCCTAGGCAGACTGGAGTGTGAGCGGCACTGTGGTGAGTCAGCGTGATTTGCGGGGCTCCTCGTGAATGATTTCGATCTGCGGTTCTCAGGTCCTCCCACCCTGCCACCCCCCATTCCGGGTAGCCCTGTGGGGAGAGCAAGGTGGGCCCTGCTCTAAGACCCGTGGTATAGACACGTCAGCGTCAGCCAAGGGGTGTCCTGGTCCATTAAAGTTCATGGAAAACTCCGATGGTCTTCAGAGGGGTTGGGATTTCACTCCCTAAACTCCACTGCTCCAGCAGCAAACAAAAGTTACTGCAGAGCAAATAATGGGCAGGTCCCACCTCGGTCAGTTTCGCTCTTGTGTGTTACAGGAATCTTTAGGTACGACGCCATCTCCTGCATGAATTGTAACTTCTCCAGACCAGCCTGCTTTGGATATAACTGCGAGTAGGGAGCACGTCTTTATATGGAGGGAGTGTGTGTGTGAGAGAGAGAACTGGGTGTCAGCAAACCCTGCCGTTTCATTAAGTCCAGGAACAGTGGTAGCTGCCCGAGAGAGGGTGGAGGAAATAGATGTATCATATAAAGAGAAGAGATTAGCAATTGGCTGTTGATTAGCCAGGTGGCTCCTTTTCCCTCCATTAAAAGAGAAACACCTAAAAAAAGTTCTTACCCCTCCTGCCTACGCAGCTACCTCTCCCCAGATGGGTTCAGCCCTGCCCTTTCTTCAACAGGTCATCAGAAGAGTGGGAAGCAGCCTTGAAAGGCCTTTTTGATTACATGTAAGTGTCAGCTCCGTGCTGGGTTTCCCAGGAGAAAACGCGTCTTCCTAGTGAGGACATGGCCCAGTGGAGACCTTGGTTTCAGTTACCCGGGTTTTAAATCAGCTTTCCAAATGCAGCATGCGGCTCTGACCCTGCAGCCCAAACTCACCCCAGTAACCCCGTGAACCTGGCTGGGACCAGGCCTGCTAATTCAGATTCTGAGGCCAGACGGGTTACTGAGCTGTGAGCGCCAGGCCGAAGGGCTTCCCCAGCAGAATTCCTGTCTGACTCATGTGGACAAACACCCTCCCTCCCCCGCTTGAACAATTCCCAGGGACGGAGACCGTAAACCCGAACCCGCAGGGCTCCGCTGGGTGGTGGAAATGCAGCCAGGGATGTCACAGGTGGGGGAGGGGTTTAAGAACTACTTCGACCCCGTTGGTCCCTCATCCACCAAGTGGGCCTAGCAGGGGTGGGGATGTGGCTTTGGTTCTTGCTCCCACCATCTGCAGCGATGGAGCTTTGGCCGCTCGCCTGCCCTCTGGCCAGGGAAGCCCACGGGCTGAAGAGGGTGGTCCCCGAAAACGCCGTGGGGCTGCGATTTGGGCAGGGAGACAGCAGTCCTGGTCCATACTCCTGCAGAGGAGTAAAGAGGCCCCTAGGCTGCAGCGCATGCTGGGCTGGTGTCTTCTGTCCCTTAGCAAGAGCTGCCGGCAGCGCTGGAGGGGTGGGCTCTGGGTTTCCTCTTCTCTGGCCCGGCCGTAGCGGAGGGCGGCTACGGTAGCTTAACATTTGCTCCTGGAGGCCCGTGCCCGGGTTGAGGGCTCCTCCACAGTAGTTATTCCAGTGGGTTTATTTATTCCGCTGGCCGCCAGCCGTGCAGTAAGGGGTTGTCCCTGTACCACGTCCTGCCCACCCATTGCACATGCGCTGAGCCAAGCACCCCAGCCTAGTAAGACCCCCTCCCTCTGCGCCCTGGGACGGCCAACCCTAGGAGGTGAGACGCCGCCTTCAGCAGCTGGGACAACTCCACAGTAGTTATTCCAGTGGGTTTATTTATTCCGCTGGCCGCCAGCCGTGCAGTAAGGGGTTGTCCCTGTACCACGTCCTGCCCACCCATTGCACATGCGCTGAGCCAAGCACCCCAGCCTAGTAAGACCCCCTCCCTCTGCGCCCTGGGACGGCCAACCCTAGGAGGTGAGACGCCGCCTTCAGCAGCTGGGACAACCCCTGACGCTCACTGTCTCTTCTTTTTCAGAAACAAGCTGTACCAGTAAGTGGGGCGTTTTCCCTTCCTGGGTAGAGGGCTCCCGGGGAGTCAGGACCAGCAGCAGATGTTCTCTCTCTGCCTCTAGTATTTGCCACTCCAGTGACGCCCTGGAGGGAAGCAGGGAGCAGAAATGGTGGAGCCCTCTCTGAGGCCCGGGTGGACGGTGTGCGGTGGGAAAGGGGACCCTTGGCTGCTATGGGCTCAGATTCTCCTTTCACCCAGCTGGGGTGGGGGTGGGGGTTCCCTGGACGGGAGGCAGGTGAGAGCCGCATTGGGCCGAGTCGGGCAGTCAGGGAACGAGCCCAGGACCCCCGAGATGGGCTCTGGGGAAATCGCTTCTCTGGCTCAGAAACCAGCAGGAGGCGAAGGCCCAGGGGAGGGCTCTGCCTTCACTGGTGAATCCCAGCTGGTGGGACAGGAGGCCACTCGGGCAGGGCTGCCAGCACCAAGGCCACCCCTCAAGTGCAGCACTGTGGGCAGGCCAGGGACAAACTTCCTGGGGGGACCCACCCCTCTGAGCAGCTGTGCCCCCTCGCCCAGCAGCACAGGGTGGGGGAGGAGCTGAGCTGGAGTTTACCAGGGACAGGGATGGGGTCGTGCTCTCACGGCCTGGCTCGGTGGCAGCCTGCACGCTCCTCTGCCCTGAAGGGCCGCTAAGCTCCCGGTTTCTCCTTAGGCAATCAGCGAGGTGGATAGTTGCCCTGAGACGGATCCCAGGCTTCCAGTGAGTGGCTGTTCGGCTTCTGCTCCTTAAATGGCCTCTCCGAAGGCGAGGTTCCTGGCACAGCCGACGGTCTGGCGGCCCGGGAATCCCAGCCCGTGGTGCTCTCACGGCTGAACTCTGCCAGCTCAGCGCTAGGCCCGGGTCCTTCAAAGGGCTGGACTGACACCAGGCTGCCAAGTGCTTTTCCCTGGCTTGGCCCTCTACACCCAGGGCTGAGAGAGGCGCTGCTCCTGCCCCAAGCAGGCATTGCAGGGCTAGACTCTCCAGCCCCTATTGCTTGGGGAAAGCGAGGGTCACTCGGCTGCTCAGTCCTGCAGCGATTGGTCCTGTTAATTCATATCGAGTCTGCGCAGTATGTGGCTGGGCAGTGGCGAAACAGCAGGCCCCGGGCCAGGGTGCTTAGCTCTGCCCCGACCTGAGCCACTTGGGGCAAGTGACTTTGTGACTGGCCCCCCCTTGTCTCAGGCAGGGTGTCTTGCTGGGCTGCACAACAAGGCCCTGGCCTTGTGTGGGGCCGACCGGCTCTCCCATAACAACCTGTACTCTCCAGGGCACTAGCCTCCAGCCTGTTCTGGGCAGAGCAGAGCAGAGCTGGCTGCGGGGGGCGGGGCGGGGGTTTGAGCTACGCTCGGCTCCCACCCCACTCACAAGCATCTTTGTCTTTCAGCAACTGCACGTCCCGCAGGTGAGTGGGCAAGAAGGGGAGAGAGAATCTGAGCAGGGTCTGTAACCAGCCTCCCGCTCGGCCAGCAAAGGCGCCTCAGTGTGGAGGGGAACCCTTCCCGGGGCCGGGTTTTCCCTCACTACTTGTTTGTGCCCACAGAAGCACAAAGCGGTTCTGCTCGGAGAGGCCCAGGTCGCTTTTAGTAATGCAGGCCTGTTCTCTCATGAGCAGGAGGGGGCAGGATTCACCCAGAGAACTATCCCCCCCCCCTTTATTTCACTGTCCTCCCTGCTCCCCCATGTCAGTCGATTCCCCAGGGGATCAGGCAAGCAGCACACGTCGGTAAATGCAGCTTCTGGCCACAAGGCAGCACTAGTGTACACGGCCTAGGAACTGGCTTTGCAGTCTCTGCAGTGCAAAGTCTTAGCCTGGAAGGACCCTCTAGAATTAATGATGGGTTCCCAAACCGGGGGGGGATGAAGAAATTATGGGGGGGAAGCCCCCCCATCCCCTCCCAAGTTTTGCTATTTTTGTTTTTTGCTCAAGTTTTGCGGCTGTTGGTGGGGGGTGATGCCAAAAAGTTTGGGAACCAGTGCTCTAGGTTGGAGGCAGAAAAAAAATCATTTGTTGGCTGCTGCTTTTGACAGGGGCTGGGTTTGGTTTTTTTACTAGAAAACTATTAATCTCATGGTTTGATTTCCCTCCCTACAGCCCAGCAATGCTGAACTTCAGAAGTAAGTCTGCACACAGGACTCCGCATCGCTGGGGCTGGGGCTGCATTTGGCTAGTTCCGGGGTGGGTCTCCCTGGCCAGCAGCAGCACCGTGGCACACAGAATGCTGGCAGCCACCTAACCATGCTGGGCCCTGCTCACCGGAGATGGGGAGGGGGGTCCAGGCCCAGCTCTGTTGGGCCTGATGGGGGTGTCCTGTTGGGATAGGGTTAGTCAAATCCCTAGTTTAGACCCCCAGGAAGGGCTCCCCAGTGGGCAGTACTGCTGGGGTTTACTGGCCTGCACAGAGCCGTGGAAGAGGCAGCCTGTGGTCGATCTGCAGCCCAGGATGACGAGGGGTCTCTTGGGCAGCTTGTCTGACAATGGTTCTCACACTCACTAGAGTTTGCTTCAGGGTGCTGGTTCCATTTGTCTTCAATTCCAAATGCACAAGGGGGCATCAGTGCCCCTCTAACCACAGGACTGACACCAGGGCAGGCCCACTCCTTGCTCTTCTCCCCCCCCCAGCTCTGCCAAGCCACCTCACCTGTTAACCCTGGCGGTTTTATTACCCAGAAGTTTTTCTTCCCAGCTGAGATGAGGGCAAACTCTTCCCTGGGCCCGACAGCATATTTGAGCCCAGGTCTGGTTCTTTGCTTTGCCCTTGAAACCGAAGCCACAGGAGCGTGAGGCAGCCAGGCTGCTCTGTGCTCCAGCCATCTGGGTGCAGCTTTCCCTTGGGTCCTGTTCTGGCTGGCGCGCTAGCTGCACACAGCCGATTGCCTCACAAGGGTGTTTCCTCAACCGGCCCCTCCTTCCCTGGGTATGCACAGAGATTACTGCACTAGCTCCATTCAGCGGACAGGCCCAGATCAGGAGCCCAGTGGCAGCTGTGCTTTTCAGGCCAGTACAAGTGCTACATGGATGTGTTTGGTGTCTTCTGCCCCTAAGGGATAAATGCCACCATGTCAGAGACTTGGCGCAAGGCACTTGCGAGCAGGAAGACAACTGGATGGCAGAAATACAGGAACCCCCCCACCGGAGTGATCGACTGCTAAGCTGCATTTTAGTAAAACGAGCCTCTCCTTGGAATGTATTAGGGGAATGGGAAATTAAAGCTTCGAATCACTCAGCAGGATGCTGTTACTCCTCTCAGACTGTTCAAAATGCAGCAAGCCACTGACAGCAGGAAACCACTTTCTACCCAAATGCCTACATGACATTTCCCTACCCTTCAGCTGCTGTATCCACCCCAGAGCTGGCTGCAATTGCAGTGACAGGGAAAAATCTCTTGAAAATGGTTTATAAAATCCTCATCGGCCACTCTGAAGAAAAGGCTGCAAGCAGAGAAAAAGTATAAAAATCAAAATTAACTTTTGTTTTGAAATTTTATTAGATCATCTTGACACAAAATTGTTACAGCAGCTTGTGGTCTGTCTTTGTAAGGGAATGTTGATAGCAAATAAATTCTTTAATATAACACATCATACAGTTTCAAAGGTCTAGAATCACTGCACAGGATTCCTGAAGAGACTCTACATGCTAAAGTGACAGTTTTCATCCATGAATTTTTAATTCCCCGCCCTCGCTGATTACGGAACATTCTCCTTTAAGACCATTTGAATATGTTCAGTTTCTAATACACTAACTGGCTAACCAAGGGAGGTGGATGGTCATTACCAAACACACTACGGCGCCAGCATTCAGTGCTGGGCCTCGCAATACGCCCCACTTGGGGGAGAGGGTAGAGGTGCAGCGTCTCTCTCCAAAGGTGAGATGAGGGTGAAGCGCTGACCTCACCTTTTGTCCCCAGGCTGCAGGGTATGTATCACACGTCTACTGTGCAATACTGACGGTTGTTGTGGGGGGAGAGGGGAGTCACCAAAAAATTAAGTGCAGACATTGTACACGTCTATCTACTCACAGGGGCCCCTCTGGAATAGCAAGTGGCAGTTCTTCACCCACATCTCAGTTAACTGCTTAGCACAGGCCAAGTCTGCTGGAAACAGAACAGCACACAGAATGTGAAAACGAGTGATCCTGGAAAGCGATGCCAGCCAGGCAATAGTCCAGTCCTTAGTTGTACTTCAGTGGCAGAAAACACCCTTTCCAGCCAATGATTCCAAGTGAATTCTCACCAACAGAGTCGTTTTGTCAGACCCTCCTTCGCAGCCTGGTAGTAACTCTATCGCAACCACAAATGTGTCGAGTTCTCCAGCCACTCCTGCCCTTCCCCTTATCTGTGCAGGTATGTCTGGGCTGGGCCAGCACACTTTTCCCAGTGCCAATTAAACACACTGTCACAGCGCAACACTGAGAACACGGAAACCGACAGTCTGGAGCAGGAGGTATTTTCAGTGGCTCTTTCTCCAACCTGCTACTGGTCACAACCTCATCTGCTGAGCCACAGTATAAAGAAATTAAAAAACAGGAACAAAAACCCTTTGGATTTCTCCTTTCTTTGCTACATTCTAACTTTTCAGGAATGTGAGGTCTCGGCTGTGCTTTGTGAAGTCCACTGAAATCACTGGCGGGGAGATGTTCAATAGGCCTTGTTTCGGGGTGAACAGGAGCAAAGGACTGAGGAATCCACCAACCCTTTTCAGCCCAGGTGGTAGCTGTCGTAATAGATAGGCGGGTCCGAGGCAGCTACCATCAGCAGAACCCCAGGAGGGTCCCCAACTCCTGCCAGGCGCATACAGATTCACTCTTAGGATATCAAGGGTGTTGATATTTGGGACCAAATGAACTTGGGGCAGAGAGGGTAGCTGCCTTCAGCGCCAAGGGCAGCTTTTGCTAAAATAACCCCTCCACTAAAGCAGACACATTCCACAGAGATGGGCCAAGACAGCCTCCTGTATTAACCAGGTTAACATGTGTAAGCCCCAGATGTTGCTCCCGCTAACCGTTCTGCTCCACCTGGGAGGCAGGCTGCACTGGATGGCTGGGAATGGCTGAATAAATAACCCCGAGGTCAGGCGCTCTGGGCTGGAAAGGGTTATACGCCCGCTGGTAAAAAGGTTCAAAATTAAACAGGGAACGTGCAGCCATAAAATGTCTAAACTGCAAACGATAGTGGAGTTAACTGAAAAGCACGTGCCCCGAGATAGTACATGCGTACAAGGGAGACATGGAACACTTGGATCTGTCTTCACACCTTAAGTGCATCGCGTGTCGTTGCCACAGTTATAAAGAATATTCAGCACTTGGACAATGTCTCTTTCATCTCATCCAGCAAATTGCTCAGCAGGGTGGAATCGTTACATTTTCCGTCAACGGATACGGAATTCTCTCCCTTTAAAGAGAAGCGTTAGTCCGTTAGCCCCTCCGTCAGCAAGGCCTGGGGGTTCACTCCCGGTGGCGCCTGTGGCTCCCGCTCTGGTGCTCCCAGGATCTCCTCTGCCCCGCAGTACCGGACCCTGCTCAGTCAGGCACAGTGTCCACGTCAGCCCAGGCAGAGGCCTCTCCCAATGAAGCCACCCCGAATCCCAACTGGGAATGCGCACCCCTTGGCCTTAAGCAGCAAGACGGCCCCCCAGCCAGGCAGTTCCCCACCGGCTGCCACCACAGAGCGTTATGGAGCACTCACCTTTTTCACCAGCAGGCAGACGTGATGGCCCTGGATGGAACGACTGTACATTGATGCGCACGAGTCAACGCGCTCCACAACTGCAGAAGTAAGCATGCATTTTTATTGAACGGCCGTTCTGCCTTCTCCTAAGCATGGTTACAGCAGCTCTCTGGTTCTGCCGGCTCCTGCCCCCAGCCCAGGGGCAGAGTTAAGGTGGCTCGGATGCCTTAATCAGCAATTTGCTTGTTCAGATTTTGGGATTATTTTGGAATATTAAGATGAATGACGATGTGACGTCACAAAATCAACCCTCTTGCAGCAAAGGCCGTATTTAGCCATAAGCGGTTAGTTGATCCTAGCAATTAACACTGGCCTGCAAAGCCCAGCTGCTTTGGCCAGCAATTGTTCGACTTTTGTCATTAGGAATTTGAAGTTACCCCAAGATATGAAGCGAAATTCCTCCCATTCCAATTACACTTAGTGCTGGCCAAAGATCAGACTGACAGCCCTGGAGCCTGAAGTGGTCTCGCCCCAGCCCTGGCTCCCAGTGCACCTCACTGAACTGGACAAGCCATCTCTACGGTGCCAGAGGGGCGCACATTTTGAATGGCTCAGCCTTTAATTAGCACGTTCTGAGACAGGGACACCTGCCTACCAGAATGGGCCAAGATAGCTTCCTTGCTTCACCCGGCCTGCAAGATCAAGGCCAAGCCAACCCTAAATTAGCGATGAGAACACGACCCCTCGCAGCGGGTTCGGTGATAGGAACTCACCTGAAAAGTGATGATAAAAACAAATCTTTGCTAGTAGATGTTGGAAAGAAACGCTAATTCCATCTGCTTTTAGAGAGCTCATGTGCAGGTCCCCAGACTCCAGCAGCTTGGCAAAAGCATCACTGCAAAAACACAAAGGAGAGGTCATGGCACCAACCCGCCCCAGCTCTCCCTCACCGTGCCAGGCCTTCTCTGCAGTTAGAGCGCAGCAGTCGCGCGTTTATGACCTAGCGGGAGACTCGGGTTTGGAGTGGGCTGAGACGAAGTCTCGGGGATCCCTGTCATCTGACACGGAAGGAGACAAACACGCTGCTTGTTCAGCAACCTACTTCTGCAGGCCCCTAGCACATCCTGATGCATGCTGTGTCCCGTAGCGGGGGATGGGAGGAGACAGACAAACTGAATAGAAGCCACCACTGGCTGGGAAAGTCAGGGCTCCGCACCTGGCCCAGCCAAAGCTGCACGTGGATGGCAAAGCCAATGCTGCACGGTGCAGACGCTGGCGCCCTCGGCCGGCACTTACCTATAGCAGGGCGTTGTGATCAAATATGAAGCGCAACTGAAGTGCAATTTGAAATCTAGTTTTTCATGGGTTGAACCTTCATCATTCTGCAACAGGCCAAAGGAAAGGAGATGAAGGGAATCTGGGGGCAGAGAAACAGCACCTACCCCAACCCAGCATGCAGAGGCCTGGAGAGATTTCACCAACTGTCTCTGGCTGGGGAGTGAGCAGTGGCGTTACTGCCGGAATTAGGGGCTTGGATTTTGGGCCGCCCAGAGTATCGAGGCAGGAGTTTGGGGTTTTGTACGTACACCTACAGGAGTTAAAGGACAACAAGTACGTGAACCAGACGGATCTGGCCAACTTTTCAACTCCATGCCCTGCTCAAAACGACTGAACGGGCGGAATTTGGTCTATCGCACTGAGATCGAGTCTCAATTTGGGAAACAGCCTGAGAAGCAAACGAACGGCTCCTCTGTCCCCTTGGCCAGGCAGAGGGCGGATTTGCAAGAAAGCCGCATTAAAAAGGCAAACCCTGAGACAATGGTTGTCTTGGTTGGCCATCGACGGGTTATGTCGATACTGCACAGACAACGAGCAGCGTTTCTGGAAAGACCAGAGCTCGGTACTTCAGCCTCCTCAGCAGAGCTCTGCAAAGCTGCGGCTAGACGCTTCATACCCACGGGTATCCCCAGCCGCAGACCTGGGACTCATTCTCGTGGATACAACATTTTCTTTACTCTTCAGCCAGCTCCACTCTTGCCCTCTGCTTCCACCCTGCATTGCACCCCATTCCAGCCCGCGGAGCTTTGGGGCCAGTGGTCAGCGTGGAACTGACCCCCGAGGTGAAGGACAGAACAGTCCCTGGGCTGCATCACCAGCCGGCTGCCCGGCCAGCGACCTTGAGACCGAGCGGGCGGATGTGGCTGCAGCGAGCTGCCAGGTGACAAGCAGCAAAGCATCCGAACCAGGGTCCCACACCGCCAGGACTTGTTTTACGCTCAGGAGGCTTTTTGCATCTCATGGAGTCATGTGACACTTCTCAGGCTGTGCGGGGGCAGGGGGAGCAGAGGAGCCCCAAAGCAGCGAGTGCTCTCTCCAGGCCAGGCGCCCTGCCACGCCCCCCAAGGCAGGCAGGAGGGGGAAAGCGGACTCACTTTGACTATAAAGGACAGGGTTCCTTTTAGTTTCTGAGCCATCACGATGCTCTGCAGAGTAAACACGAACTGGGCTTCGTTAGAGATCCCTGGTGAGCGAGAGGAGAGGGAGGCGTGAGGACACGGCAAGCAACTCGCCTCCTTAGGCATCAGTCACAGAATCCCCAAACTGGCAGGGACCTCGGGAGGCATCGAGTCCAGCCCCTGCTCTCCCGGCAGGACGAAGCCCCGTCTAGATTGTCCCTGCCAGGTGTCTGTCCAGCCTGCTCTTCAGTATCTCCAGGGATGGAGATTCCACAATCTCCCCAGGCAATTCATTGCAGTGTTTAACCCCCCTGACAGGCAGGAAGTTTTTCCTAATGTCCAACCTAAACCCCCCTTGCTGCAATTTACGCCCATTGCTGCTGGTCCTGCTCTCAGAGGCTAAGGAGAATTTTTCTCTCTCCCTCCTTGTAACATCCCTTTAGACACTTGAAAACGAACAGCTAGGACGGTAATCGCTCACAGCGCCGGACAGGGGCATGCGAGCCTGACCAATGCCTGGCTCTGGGCCCCAGGTAAGGGTGGGATGTTCAGAGGCACCTGAGGGGGATGCAGCCAACTCACAGAAAATCAATATGATTTGGGCACCTAACTTCCTTCCCCCTCGGCTGGAATCTGTCCCGGGTCTCCTGGCTGGATTTCTGGATGGCACAATGGAGCCAGCAGACGCCACTTAGCAGCATCCTGCTGCCTGTGTTAACGGGATTCAGTACAGGCAGTGGCAGGCTGGTGATTAGCACATCGGTGAGAAAGGTGTCACCAGTGGGCAGGTCTGCGCTGCTGCAGCCAGGGAGAGAAACGCTGGGATGGACCCTCCCTGCCTGCAGCTTGTTCTCCAGCAGCCCAGTCCCTGCACATAGGACCCACCTGGAAGGAGGCTGCAGGCTGGGGCAATGGCAGGGCTGCATCACAGGCACAGGAGGTGCATGGGCCCTCTCCAGGCTGTGTCTTGCCGGCAGACAGCGCACAGGGCAGGGAGAAACATGGTGCAGGCCCCACACTCCACCAGCCCTGCCCAGAGGCAGCTTTGCAGGGCTGCCCTCGGGGAAGGCTTGTCCCTGAACTGCAGCTTCCTTCCCTGACCGCGGCCTCGCCAGCCTGACTTCTGTCGAGTAGCAAGAGCCGGATAATGACCCAGGCGGGGTCCCGATGCAGAGCTGACGGGCTCCACAAGCCACACGCCTGCACAGTCGCCCACGCCCTGCCCCGCGGGGAGCGCGTCAAGCATTCGGTGTTAGACCAGAGCGGCCAGACGGGGTGCGACCAATGATCCGTCCAGGCCAGTCTCCTGTCTGCCCACCATGGCCAGTGCCTCAGAGGGAGGGAACACGACAGGGAATCATCCAATGATCCCTCCCCGGTTGTCCATTTCCAGACAGAGGCCAGGGACACCGTTCCTACCCAGCCTGGCTAACAGCCCTTGATGGAGCGAACCTCCACGAATCTATCTAGCCCTGCTGTGAGCCCCGTTTTAGTGCTGGCCTTCACCACATCCCCGGCGATGTTCCTGTTTCCCACACTCAGCTGTTAAGACGCAGGCGTTCAGCATGTACCAGCGTCACCCCTTGGAGAGCGCTTCCGACTCGCCCGTCTCAAAGCCCTGCAGGCTCTAAGCCTCAATACTCCTCTGAGGGAATTAGCCCCCTCCCCCCCCAATTACCACGGGGGAAACTTGAGGCCCAATGCAGTTAAGTGTCAGAGCAGCCCACCCTGGGTTCTTACCACCTCTTGCAGTTGTTGGTGTAAGTTTAAGGCCTGGACTCAAGTGATTATCGGGGCTTTCAATAAGATTTCCCAACCTTCCTGGGTGCGAAGAACAGGACTGCAGTGCACCCAGCAAGCCAAGAGCTGCGCAGGTTAAGAAATCAATCAAGCCAATCGTGATCTGCGAATGCCTGGTGACGTCCAGGACACCGCAGTCTGTAGCACAGCCAGCCTTACCCCTAGTCCTACCTATTAGACCACGCTACCTAGTGGTTATGCCACTCGGAGGGTCTAACTAGCATCACCGGGGACAGGGTAAAGCCACTTTCTAAAAGTCACTTGGTTAGCCCTTCCCACAGGAGGGCAGCGTGGGACTGGCCATACCAGGGGGCAGCTGGAACGGCACAGGTATCCCATCGTGTACTGATGACCCTTCCGGCCGGAGCATTTTAGCGTTGAGAGAGTCCAGGACATTCAACTCCATGCTCTTCAGGAAGCTAGCACTCTTGTTTTCAAAGATCACCGAGACCGTGACTTGACTGTCATGCTGGAGGTTTCCTTGAATGTCGTATGTCTGTGAAGGAAGAAACCACAGGGAGGCTTCAGACGCTGGCTCACGTACACAGCAGTGGGCTGAAGAGAATCTAGCGCTCACACGCGTCGGTGTGGAGACTTCCTTTAACTGCACTGCCAGACTTTCAAGCAGTAGGGCTGGGCCAGACCTTTGTGCTGATAACCACAGAGCCAGGGAGGGATCCTGCCCCAGAAATCCACTCGGCCATGTCTAGCTGCTGTAACTGGGACGGTTCTCTAGTTAAACGCTGCAGCCGTCAGCCGTCCCAGGGCCATCTCCCGAAGGTGCTCAGGAAGTCCAAGCGGGAGGGACGTGAGAGACGCTCACACTGAGTTACTCACCATTTTAATGTACGAATTCTCAGCAAGAAGGCAGTAACTGGACATGGGCTGAAAAACCAAGTAGGAAGTTACACAGCGAGCCACGTGTACGGATGAAAACTCGACTCTACAGAGCAAGCAATGTCCCCCCCTCGCTCCCCGCCAGGTCTGAATCGGGGGCATTTGCTGGCACCTCGGCCACAGCGCGAGAACATCGACAGCCGGGTGCAGGGCTCAAGTTGGGCCCACAGCAGCCAGTTCTGAGCAGCCCAGAGCCCTCTTCCGTGTAGGGGGCTCCCCGCTTCCCTCGCACATGGGAACACGCTTCCGCCCAAGCCTGGCCCTTGCAGAGCCAGCAGCAAAGGGCTCTGGGGGACGAGGCGGCTCCACCACCTGGTGACGTGCGTTCCCAAGCAGCCGAAGGGGACGGGTTGCTCAGCTGGACCCTCCAGCTGGGCGGAGGGAAAGGGTCTGTGGGGAGCTGGCTGGTCCGCAATGGCCCCTCCTCACTCTGCGGGAGAGCGAGCTCCACACACTAACCCCTCCCCCATTCGTTACTCCAGTGGCCATGAGGGGAGGGCTCAGGAGAGACACTCGGCTGGTGAAGTACGAGTGCAGCTCTGGTCTAATGTAGCAAACGCACCCCCCCGGCAGCGGTTCATCGTCCAGCGTCCCGTTCGGCCCCGACGCTGCCGGCTCCTCCTTGCTGCCGTGGTGCTTCTTGGATTTCTTCTTGTCCTTGGGCTTCTCCTCCTTCTTCTTGTGCTTCTTCCTATGCTTGGAGGCTTTCTGCCAGGCAGCGCAAATTCCTCACTGCCTCTCGCCCGCGTCTCTCCAGCCCCAGGTTCCACTGCACACCCCCAACTAGCCCTCTGCCTGGGCTCGCGGGGCCCCTGCCGCCGCCTCCAGCCCCAGGCACGTGGCAGGAGGAGAGTCTGGCTCTGGTGAGCCACGGCTGGAAACCCCCCCCAGCCCCCTGCCAACGGCTCAGCAACCCCGGGGGCAGGCTAGTCTCTTGCACCTTCCCCTGAACAGTCGCCCTGGTCACTGCTGGTAGGACACTGGACCAGGTGGAGCAGTGGCTGGAGTCAGCCTGGCAGCACCATGGCATCAGTTCTTTAGCCCCTCACCTTTCCTTCGGCATCCTCCTCCTCTTGCTCGTTCCTCTGGGCCTCTTGCCGCTCCTCCGGCTCAGCTCCGGCAGCGCTCCCCTCGGGCTCGCTCTGCCAGGGAGCAACAAGAGGGGCTCTGACGCGAGCCAAGTGCAGGCGACGGGGCTGCCCTGGGGCTGTCCCAACGGCTGCGAAGAGGTTCGCTCCGTGGGTTTAGGGCTCGGCCAAGGGCTCATCCTAGACATAAGCCTGCTGGGGTCCCCACACCTCTCCCAGCTTAGAGGTCAATGGGAAGTGCAGCTGGAGGGGCCATTTTCAAACCTCGCCTCAGTCTGCAGCTGTTGGTCTTTGCTACTCGACTCCGCACGGCATCTCCCGCAGACCCCCCAGGCCAGGGCTGCTGAGCCCTGGCCCTGGTGTGTGTCTACTGACATGCCAGGAGCGCTGCAGACCGGGACGCGGGGAGGGAGGCAGACAGCCCCCCTTCAAAACCCAGGCTTCCTTGCTCTCCCTGGCCCCGGCTGGGAGGTGCCATTTGCTGACCCAGACACCCCTTCACTTCCCTGCCTGTACAGGGTCCTTTCAACCCCACTGATCCCCCTTCGCGCTTGGGCTCAAAGCCTCATCCCACAGAGCAGCTGGAAGGGACGAATTCCCACTGCCCGGAGCTCCCGCTCTGCGGTAACGCCAAGCTTGCGCGCCAGGGCTCACAGACCCAAGGAAAAGTTTGTTGGGGGGGGAGGGGGAGGGGAGCAATAGTCAGACCTACCTGTGCCTGTGCAGGGGCGGCAGGTGGTGGGGCAGTGGAGAGCCAGAAGTCCAAGTCTTCCCCCTGACACACACAAGAGCAATCAAGCCCGGACCGTGACATTAACGTGACTGTGCTGCTTTCGCACAAGCCACCCAGCGAGTTGTACGACATGGAAGCTGCTGCAATTGGCGCAGAAATACAGGGAACAGATGGCTCGGGGGCCCGAAGGCGGGCTCCGTCCCAGCGGTCCCTCCTGTTTCCCACCCCAGAGTAGAACGAATGTTGCGTGCACCAATGTGGAGGGGACGTGCGACAGAGCAGACGTGCCAGACTTTGGGGGGTGGGAGAAGGGGCTCAGGTGTGGGGCAGAGGGCTGGGGTGCAAGGCTGTGAGGGCTCCGGCTGAGGGCACAGGCCGGGGTGGGTGGGGATTGGGGTGAAGGGGGGCACTTGGCAGCTAGTGCAAGGAGAGAGGACCCCCCAGCTCTCTTCTCTCAGCAGCACCCGATGTGCAGGGGGACAGCAGGTCTCCCCACTGCAGGAGCTCCAGGCTGGGCTGCCTCGCAGCAGGATGGGTGCTAAGGCTGCCTAGGCTGGGGCCGCCCCAGCAGAGTCGGGGCCAAGGCCAAGCTGTGGCAGGATCAGGGCTGCAGCTCCTCCTGTCCCCGTCTCAGGTCACAGCCCCCTCCTGTATCCAGACTCCATCTGTGATGCGCCCTCCCCCCATGCCCTATGAGAACCGGCTTATGAATATGCAGAACTCAAAGATGCTTTATGCAGAACAGGTCACGTAACAGTCCACTTTTACCGTTAATCGCTGAATGCGTCGAGCCTATTTTTGTGCACGTGTCATTCTTGTATGTGAAGCTAGAAATCAGACGTTGGATCTGTGTGGAGTTCTAAGTGTGGGAGTGAGGCCAAGGCTGATGACAGGAACCCAGATGGCTGAGGGATCAAGCCAACCTCCTGTGAGCAGCCAGGTTTGTCCTGGGAGCCCAACCTGTTGTTGGTACTAGAAAGGCATGGGGCCAGGCCGCCCATGGAGGTTGGGTCCATGAAGTAGTCTTAGCCAGGGGGTAGGAGTGGTGTCCCTGCCCAAAGTTTGTGGCAGGGGGGGGGGGGGGGGGGGGGGGCAAAGAGTAAGGAGAACTGCCAAACGCCAGGAGCAAGGTTCCCTCTAAAGTTTTCCATCCGTGTATGATTTTGGATCTGGTACTTTTCCACTCCAGCGGAGACGTTTGAACGGAGCAGAAAGAATTCCTGCCTTGAGCAAAGGGGGGGGGCAAAGAGTAAGGAGAACTGCCAAACGCCAGGAGCAAGGTTCCCTCTAAAGTTTTCCATCCGTGTATGAAATACATTTTGTTGTGTGCACTGAGGCATGTAGAACACGCCCCACCAGTAGAAACAAGCTGCTGGCCGTGGGAGGCTGCCCAAGCACTTGCCTTACAGGGACCGCTGGTCAGGAGACCTCCCCCCCCCTTACCACCTACGAAGCCCGCTGCAAACATCTAAGACTGAATGGGGGAGGATCGGGCCCAAGCTAAGCGGATGCTTAAGTTATGAGAGAGGTTCAGAACAACCGTTTAGGGTAAACATTTGAGGGAGAAGTTTCTCATGGATTAGAGCTGGCGGAGCGCTGTTTATTGATATTAATTTAGTGACTGACTTGGATCTGACTTTTCCACTTGCAACCACTTAGACCCAACTTCTTAGACTTACAAAGCCATGTCTGCCCCTTATCGAGCCCAGTGTAAGTAACCGTTACGGGGGGGAAGGGGGGAACCCCCCTTTGCATCGCTCTGTCAACGCCAGAGGGGACTGACCATATGAGCTTTCTCTGTGTAAAACTTTTACCCAGATTAACAGGGATTTACTTGGGGTTTGGGTCCCTTTTGGGAGTCGGTTTCCTGGGGGCTGAGCCCTTAGAGCCGAGCTGGTTCAGTGTCCGTGTTGCTCTGCAGGGGGCGGTAAACCCAGTTCTGTGCCTGGTCTGGGAGAGGGCAGAGGATCAGGCCCAGCAGGACGGGGTGGCAGGGAGCCCCAGAGAGCAGGAAGGTGGGCTTCAGCGGCATGATCAGCCCACCGGGGGACAAACCTAAGGGGACTTCTGCCATTTCACACCCTCACACCCTCCCAGAACCCCCCCCCCCCCCCCCCCCCTATTCACTGCACCCTCTCTTGGTGGCTTCCTCTCTCCCACCCTCACTCACTTTCACTGGGCTGGGATAGGTGGTTGGGGTATGAAAGGGAGTAAGGGCTTTAATTGGGATTCCAGGCTCTGGGTTAGGCCAGAAATGAAGGTTCAGGGTGCAGGAGGGGGATCCAGACTGCGGGTTGGGGCCACAGGATTTGAAATGTGGGAGGGGGCTGTGGATTGAAGCAGGAGATTGGTGTGTGGGAAGGGATGAGGGCTCTGGGCTGGGGTGCTGGCTCTGTGGTGGGGCCAGAGATGAGGCGCTTGGCGTGCAGGAGGGAGCTTTGGTTTGGGGGGAAGGGGTGGGGCAGGGAGCTGGGACTCAGAATTGGGGTGCAGGCTAACCTTGGGTGGTTCCCAGCTACCCGGCTAGTTGTGCAACAAGGCTAAGGCAGGATCCCTGCTTGTTGTGTCTCTGTGCTGTGCCCTGGAAGCATCCAGCAGGTCTGGTGCTTAGGCATGGGGGAAGGGCTACAGGACTCTGTGCACTACAGACCCCCCCCCCCCCACTCCACCCTTCCTCTTCCTACTGCTCCCAGACCTTGCACCCCTCCCTTCACTAAGACCACAGAAAAGGGCAGCCCCTGACCACTTACTAAATTCTTGGCGTGGCCCCCCATGGAAAAGCACCGCCCATTAGCCAGCCTGCAGGCTGAGGCACCCTCATCCCCTCAAGTGGACACCGGCTGCAGTGCCTGGGGAAGCTTCGACCCCAACTGATCAGTCAACTGGTCTGCGCAGGGAACTTTGGAGTTTTCAACTTTTGCCCACAGGAAATTCACTGAACGTTGTAAATCAAGTGGGTTCAAGTGGCGATTCCCTGCTAATGCCACTCACTGAACTGACATTTCCCCCACGAGCTCCGCGTCTCTCGCCAGCGGCACTCTGCAGGCTGACGAGGCTAAGTAGCTGTTTAATTTCATTTTGCTACTTGTAACTGGCAGCAGGGCACTTTCATTACTGCAGAAATCCCAGGAAATGAAAAGCTAAAAATAATCCGCATGTGCATCCTAGTACCAGCTACTGCCGTCGGCAGCAGCACGTCTGAAACACAGGACATTTCGTCAAGAAATACCTTGTTCCCTTCTTCAGCCACCTTTCTGTCTTTTTCTTTCTTCTTTTCTCTCTCACGCTCTTTTTCTTTGTGTTTCTTTTCCTTCTTTTTAGGTTTCTTGCTCCTTTTTTCTACTAACGGAGCTTCAGTGTCTGGTGATTTCAGGTTCTCAGCATTTCTGTGTGTCTGCACGGGCAGCTTCTCGCTATCGGCTAAGGGTCTTAAGAGAGACGATTAGTTACCTTCCTATGAACAGAGCACCTACTAGATTCCCAGGCAAGTTTCTCTTGCCCCCACTTGCCCACCCCACCTCAAAAAAAAAATCTCACAGAATTCGCCTAGGATCACACACAAAATCTCCACTAACACACGTCAGAATCCCAATGAAGCCACATTGCCTGCCTGCAGGCATTAGAAGTTTGATGAAAGCATCTGGCAAGCCACTGTGAGCAAAGCACAACAGCGATGCGCTTGCAGATTAGTCACTTCCTGAAGAATTAACCCCACACACAGAGCATGACGTTGCAAACCTATGAAATTATCCTAGAAGAACAAGTAAAAATGTAAAATAGGAGGAAAGATTTGAAGCAGGAAATGTTACAAGCCAAGCAGGGAATTGTATCTTATGGGCTGACAGCTTGGCTTAAATAAATCCCGGGGCCAAGGACTCAATGTGTCTAGTATTTGAAACAATGGGCAGGGTTCCTAGAACTATACACGGAGTTTTCTTAGGATTGCTTAGAAAGTTGTGCTGTAAATCACAAGCCCAGCATTAAATCAAAATAAATTTGGCTGGAACGCCCATATCACAGCAGGACTGTTGCAAATCGCTTGGCTTTATATTCTATGCCCAGAGACAAAGAGAACATCAGCTTCCTGTTCTTGTCACACTAAGGTGCTGTATAGTTGAGAGAAAATCATATTACCATATTACTGGGCATGCTCATTACAAGCCAAGCAGCAACTCGGGAGGGGGGTGAGCATATAACACCCTCCATACAGCCATATCACCTCTGCATGGACTGCTACTGTCAGATCTGTGTTTGGGTTCAATGTTGATTCGCATGTTTGTTGAGCAACCAACATAAGGTCAGGAAGATTGGGATGAAGGACTGGACTTGATCTAACTACTTCTAACACAAACACTGTAAAACCCAGCAGGATCATGTCTGACCAAGCAGTCAGCAGCCCTCGATTTTAAAACAATTTCATGTCTGGTGACAGAAGGCTTGGCTCAGAGAAAGCCAGTAAGGAACAGGGAGTCGCAGGCATCATTTGAGGGGTCCATGCTTCGAATATGATCATGATCCTGAAGAGATTCACACTGATCAGTGAGTGAAATCAACCAACCTTTTAAAGGCCATCTGCTTAGTGAGATACTCTTACCTGGCAGGCTCCCCTGAAACCAGACTGTGTGTGTGTGAGTGGCACAGAGTGATGCAAGCACAGGGAGAGAGAGAGAGAGGACAGAGATGAGACAATGTGACAGAAGAGCACGACTGTGTATATGGGTAGAGCATAGACAGGAATGGTGTGAAGGCCCAATGACACCTCCACGAACACTCCATTTCGGAACAGTCAGCTTCGTGTTTTCCACACTGGTCTATTCAGCCTTTGCTGGTAGGAATTGCTTTCATCCTACCTATTGCTCTCCGAGAAACTCAAAGACAACTGCTTCCAGAAGCAGACGAATTCTTTAAGAACTTTGTTTCCCCCCCCCCAATTTTTAATGTACCAACAGGAAATGTAGAACAGCCTCCTAAATCCCACAGGATAAAAGGGTCCTAACCCAACCATTACAATGACTAGAATATGATTTTCTAGAACAGCAGGGAAACCTGCATAGGCAACATTTTACAATTGGCCTTTGATTGTAGCTATTCAATGCCCATCGGGGGCTTCAGATTTCCAGTGGGGTACATAAGGATCCCAGCATTCTCCGGCTCCCAACTCAATGGGTTGGGAAAGACCGGCTGGCAGGAGCTGGCAGCCCCATCAACTGACCCGGTCTCCACGAAAGCATCCCAAAGAGCTACGGGGAAGACACCCAAAGGGAAAGCAACCACTTGGCATAGAAGTGTGACTGTCCCCATTTCCTGTCCCCCCCAGTACAGCCGTGCTCTGAACAACTACTGATAGCAGGGCCGATTCAGCACATCCCTTGCAGCCAGTCTCTGAAATCCTGTGCGCGTGCACCGTGGCTTTCTGAGGTGCGCAGATTAGGCCAAGCGCTCGGGGACGGGTGAAGACTGATGGGTTTTGCCTCTAGTGCAAGCAGAAGCAAGGCCTCACAGTAGGAGCTCTGCTGCACTGACTGCCATGGCTAGCAGGCAAGTAAGCCACATCTCACAGGTCTGTACTTACTTATCCAGGTCGACATCCAGGGCCTTGTACGGATCGTTGGGATCTTTGTCATCCTCATCACTGGGCAACGCGTTCTAGATGGATGGAGAAATAGAGAAACCGCTGCAGCCATGAGCAGTTCCCAAACTATACCAGTCCCCCCTCAAACCCCACCTGCCCAGAGCGATCTAGTGAAACTGGCCTCCTTCCACTCAGACAGGAGCAGTCACATCAGCTGTAAACTCCATCCAGCCTTCAGGCATTTCGAGTAGAGCGATTATTCGTGAACCCCAGGATTTCCGTTACTGGGTTTTGATTGGAACACACCCCAGAGGCACTAGCGAGTACAATTAACTATGTTGGCAGAGAGCCTGCAACCGGGATGCAAGTTCAACGTGGAGAGAAGCTGTAAGTCTCTGTGGGCGGCATGATTTCTACTGCAGGCGCATCCTGTGGGTTTAGTCATTTTTTCTATTCGGTCAATTGCAGCCTTTAGCCTCATGTGCCAAGAGGCCTCCTAACTCTCTCACGGGGGGAACCAGCCTATGCTATTCTTCAACCATCCCACCAAGGCAAGTGGGCAACTGACCTCCGGCATCTCCTCGGTGATGATGTCCACGTGCTGGGCCGGGGCGATGTCCTCCTCGCTCTCCGTGTGCAGGGAGGTATGGCGGCGATGCTTGCCTTTCTTCTCTTTCTCCTTCTTCTGCTGTTTCTTCTTCTTGTCTTTCTCAAGCTTCTGTTTGTGCCGCCGCTCCTCCTCCAGCTTCACATACTGGTCGGACGTGGGCTTTCCTGCCCACGCAGATGGCTCGGGTAAGAGTTGCTTACAGGCTGACCGTCGCAGGAGTTAACACATTTTGCCCCAGTTTCTCATCCCGAATCCCAAAGATCAAAGCCCCACATTATCCTCACACCCCCCAGCTCTTCACAGTCCCTTCAATAAAAGCCTCCTCCCAACCAACTTCACAGCCCATGGCAAGCCAATGGACAAAATTCTGCTCATTTTCATGCATAACTCCTGCTGACTCTCTTGAGCGTTAGATCACCAAAGGAAGAATCCAGCCTGGAGACTCCTCTACAGCTGACTGTCCGACTGCATTTTTCATACCCTTGGGAAACGGAGAACATTAAAGGCCGTAACCCTGGTATGAAAGAGCTCACTCACACTTTCTCTAGGCTGTTCTCTACCGTGTACTGTACTTCAGCCATCGTTTTTCTGTCTTTCAGAAGCAGCCTACTGCTCAAATTCACTTGATCCCCAACCCCTCTGCTCTGATCACAGCTTTTGGTCACTGCAGAGCTTTGACATTCTGAAGATGGAGCTTTCCTGACAACATACTCCTGTTACGCAGTCAGCCTGTGCATTACACCTCACCATAGGTTTGTCTGAACTCCAGCACTGAAAAGAAGGCTTGCCTTCCACTGTGCAGGAGAATGGAAACTATGGTTCTAAGTTTAACAGCTGTAGCTTCCAGCACACTCACAATGAGAGGCAATATGGGAACCTGACATGTGAGGCTAGAAGTAAGAGGAAGTCGTTACTCTTCTGTTGTAGAAATTTGAAATTCTTTACCTCCACTTTGAAACTGGCTTGGTCTATGTGCTTACCTGGAACTTTTAAGGGAACAGAAAGGTCAATCTGGACCACAGGTATATGCTCCACACCTGGCGTATCTTGGTATCGCTGGGAAATGGAAGATTCAGTGCATTAGAATTTACTCTACAATAGGAGAGCATACTGAGTTATTGTCCCTTGCTTAAAGGCATGGCTTAGCTCCATCACCCTGCACTGATCTTCAACCAAGAAATCAATTCTGATGTATTACAGTCTGAGTATCTGCTTCAGAAATACTTGAAAATGTCTCTCTAATATAGAAACAGTCATCAAAAATAACAGTTTAACCTGTGAACATTCCAAAGGGCAGATGAAATGAAACCGGAAAAATTATGTGGCTCATTGGTGCTAATCAAGTAACAATAGGTGCATATGAAATGTGATTGTGTTAACATTCCTTGTTACAGCCAAGAAAAGCACTGAACTGAGACACGGTGACCTGAGGAGGTTTCTATTTCTTACCACCTCAGAGGTAATGCTGAGATCAGGACATGGGAAATGGGGCAATGAAAAGTCCCAGCCCAGGCAGAAGTGTGGAAAACAAAGAGGAGACTAAAAGAAGTGAGAGGCAGCAAATCAACATAATTAATGTTCCATTGATGCGTTTGGTTCACAGAACAGACGCACTGCACATCCAATCTAGCCGGTCTGTTGAATTCACTGCTGGGTCACTGCTACTGACCACACCAGCTGCACTCTGCTACTTCCCTCTTCCTCTGCTATTCACTGAGTTTCTGGCCATCTGCATACCCATCATGCTGCCAAGTGTATTTACTGCATCGTTCCATTGCTTGTAACGGAACATCCAACTGCCCGCACCGGAATTTTTGGGGACAAAGAAGGAGTTTGGATAAATTAATTACCCTGATCTACAAAGGAAAACACGTATCCAAATTACCAAGTCAGTGCATTCACCTGACTTGTTTTGTGTTCTTTGGAGCTACTATTTATTGCTGAGCTGGATTCTAGGCTTTACTGAAGGAGGAGTTAGTCCCAGCTGCCCCTAGACTAGAGGCTAGTGATGTATTAAAGCAAACACCTGGAGATGCCCTCAGGAATCACAGCTACCCACAGGAGAGTACAGTGATTCAGAAGAGAAGAGGACATGGCACTGAGGCACCATGCCCACACAGCAGAGGGAGTAAAGGATGGAGTGGGCCGGGCAGCATGCTCACAGCAGGGGGAGGAAGGGAACCAAACAACAGTAAAGCATGAGAAAAAAGGGGGTGGGGGAGGACACAACCAAATAAACACATGTGCAAGCAAGGAAAAAGAGAAGGGACCAGACAACTGACACGGGAAAATCTGGAGACCAAAAGGAGATGGTAATTTAAAAATTATGCATTAAAGATCAGACATTAATACGGCCCATATGACACTCTGCCATAAAGCAATTGCTGCAGTTGCCACCACGACGTTAAGTGGTTAGGAGATCACAAATGGGAGAGAGGAAGTGGTCAGGGTGCTCCCAGAGAGGAAAGGGATCCACAAGACAGTCTATTAAGATGCGACTATGAAAAAATCAGATGGCCCTTGTACTGTTATACACACAGACAGCCAGAGAATTGTTTAACAAGCTAGACTTACCTTCTGTGGGGAAGGAGAGCTTTTAATATAAAATGGATTGTTTGCTTGTTCCTGTTTCCGGGCTTCTCGGCGCTAAAAAAAGTATTTGCAGTTACACATTTGAAGATTTCTCTCGGCTTTATTTCCAGACATTACAATGCGTGCTCTTGCTGAACACGGGTAGCACTGCAAGAGGCCCAGGGTATCAGCTCTCTGGTTCTCAAGTTTTGTAGTTGCAATAGATACTAAGCTAATAGGGAACATGCCTTAAGAATATCCCTGCTCTCTACTCTTTGGCTTTTATGCTAGGAAAGTTGTACGCTTCCTGAAGGTAACAAGGGCTTGACCTCAGTTCTATTGCTCCTATCCCTGTTTTGCAGTTGCAGTGGGGAGAGGGAATTATTCCAACCTAACAAGTCATTCTGGATCAAAATGGAAGAAGGCCAGAAGCAGCGAGTTACAGGCACGACAGTTCTCAGCTGCATTGCCAACAGGAATTGTGAGGTTTCAGAGAAGGCATCTTTGCTACAACTCCTGTGATACAAATAGCCCACACTACAGGGATGGGTGGTTAACAAAAGCATGCGTCTACTCTTACAGTCTGTGAGCAACACCGGTCATTCTGGATCAAAATGGAAGAAGGCCAGAAGCAGCGAGTTACAGGCACGACAGTTCTCAGCTGCATTGCCAACAGGAATTGTGAGGTTTCAGAGAAGGCATCTTTGCTACAACTCCTGTGATACAAATAGCCCACACTACAGGGATGGGTGGTTAACAAAAGCATGCGTCTACTCTTACAGTCTGTGAGCAACACCGGTAAATTGATGAGGTCCACCTCTAACACTTTGCCCAGAACTACAAGCCTCCAAGTCAAGTGCATACTGGGGTGGGTGGGTGGGTGGGTGTGTGTGTGCGCGCGCGCACCTCCAGTCAATGAAACCCACTTAATCGGGTGACTATTGGGTAGAATGACCAGGCATTTCCATCAACAATTTTTGTTTTTAATTCTGTTCATCTTCGCGGCAGAGGTCAGCACAATATAGATTTGCAGAGCTTACTGGTCAGATTTTTCAGAAGAGCTCAGTGCGCCCAGCTGGGGCCAACTTTGGAAAAGATCTCAGCTCCCATTTAGATATGAAAGTAAGCAGCCAGACTTTCCAAAGAGCTCTGCACATTGGTTGTTGAGTCCTTTGGAAAATCTGTTCCAAAAACCCCCCTTTGCTCTCAGCTCAAAGGAGAAAAGCAGCATGGATCAAGACGATTACTGTAAGTATGGATTTGCATACATGCTCCGGAGCAGTCTGAAATGATTAAGCAGCTGAATGCAAGGACTTCTATCCTTACTCCCTTTAGAAGATGTCCCCCAGTGAGGAGAAAGGCATAGCCGCCACTGCTGTATGCAGCCCGGCACCATTTCCAACTTCTCTACTGATGTTGGCTATACCACTCGCTCAGGCTTTTTTTAAATAGATAAGCTGTATTTTTATGTTCACTTACCCTGGCTAACTCTTCCTCATCAATTTCTGGCTGTCTCGGTCTAGAATGCCTTTGCTCTTCATCATGGAAAATTGTTTTGGGTTTTTCATCTTCAGACTCACTATCTGACGGAGGCTCATTGATCCAAGCGTCAAGGTCCAAACTGGCAACAATTGCAACAATTATAGACTGAGACGAAGGTCAATATAGTTACTTACAGCAGCTAGCTCTGTTCCTGGGCACAGCCATGTGAACTGTTTCTACCCAGAATTAGCTTTATTACTAAAATTATTTAACAGCGTGTTAAGCATTTTCGAGGCGCGCAGGAAGGCCCACCCCCATTTTTTCAGAGCTTACAATCAAAACACTGTAGAGGGGAACATCTTACCCTTCCGGAACTGGGACTTTTTTCTGGGCTTTAGGAGCTACCGGGTTCAGTTCTCCCGCAAACAGGGCTATCACTTCCTCGGCTACGGGCACCTCTTTTATTTGTAGCTTCTGAATGTATTTAATCAGCTGTAAGATGCAAGAAGCCTGCAAAAACAAATACAAAAAGTTTAAGAACTGGGGTCAATGCACAGGAGTCACCGAATTAGCAAACAGTAAAGAGTCGCGGTGAGATACAGCAGCGTGTAATTGTACTGACATCCCTGAAGCTAGAGACTGACAACTCTTGCTAGGCAGGGAACCAAATACTGAGCCTCAAATGAATTGTTTTGCCTATTTTTCCTCATGATTTCATGGCTTAGTTGGCAAAACTGGCTGCACTGGTTATAAAAGTCAGAGCATTTTTTTTTAAATCATGTTTCATTATGCACGTAATTTTCACTTACTATTTTGAATCTATATTCTATGCCCTCTCCTCTGTCCATATACTGGAAGTAACGACCTCTCTCCCCCTTCACTTTGCACACCAATGCCAATTTTTAATTCAGTGGGGGCTATATAATGGTCCTCACTTGGGATCTGGTTGGGGACTGTGGCTTAGCTATCATGGCTGCAATCCCAGACTGCCAAGAGGGTCGTAGGGAGGGGACTGTCACGTCCCCCCTTGTTTTATATGAAGCATGGATCTCTTTGTAATTATAAATGTGCTAATCACTGCTGATGCTCTGGATCTTAATGACTTGGATCTCAAACCAACAATCTGTTAATCATCATGTTTGTCCTGTAAGTCCAAACTGTGGCTGGTCCCAGAAAGACATGTGACCATGCCACCTAGTACTGGAATCCATCAGGAACCTGGGATTTTTCCATGGGGGTTATGGGTGCTGATTTCCTGCTTAACTGCCTGCCTCCTATGAAGAATTGCAATCCAAAGGTGTTCAGCCAGGGTGATAAGCATGGCAGGGTATAAAGAAACAAAGACTGATGCTTTTCATTATGGAAACATGAACATAGTGTTTATAGATCTAGATCTTGGCAGGACTGGTTTGGGAATAAAACTGTGTGTTATTTATGTCTTTTATTGGACCAGCTTTGGTTGTGAGGTACAAGCTTTCGAACTACACAGAACTTTTCCCATGGTTTCCAGAGTTTGTATCTTGCATCAACAGAAGTCTGTCCACTGAATGTATGACTTGCCCTATCTTGTGCCTCCCATATCCTGGGACCACTGCACACTGCTTATATAGACTGAGTTTGGTCTAATGGATGAAGCATGGGATCGAGAGTGAGATGGACTCAGCCAGCGTCTTGCTGTGTGAGCGAACGTGGGCACATCATTCAATCTCCCTGGGTTTCCGTTTCCACGTCTATAAATATAAGGACTGTTTACCGACCTGCATCCCTGAGGTGTGCAAGGCACACAATGCGAGCAGAGATCTTGCATAAGCATTTATACATGCGTGATCCATGCAAGATTATAGTCATTTGCGCTCACCAATTCAACCAATAGTAGATGGTTAAAGAGCACTTTGACAAAACCAGACCATTTAGCTTTCTTACCCTCTCTTGAACTTCCAGATCTGCACTCTGCACAAACTGAGGCAAACGATCGATCATCAGCTGGGTAATTTCCTGGGCTGCTTCCTTCTCCCCAGCTTGCTCCTTCTGTTGTAGGATGGATGCATAAAGCTTTACCATGTTCTGGACATAAACTGCCTGGATGTGGCCTGGTAGAGTGGTAACTTTAGGCCTCAGCATTGCTTCTAATGTCTGGTTGGATTCCTCAAGGTGTCTGAAAGACAGTGAATGGATGCAGAGGAAGGCAGAAAGAGGTGCAGTCAATTTCAGAAGCTCCACATTTCGCCAAGTTTCATATACAGCTTCAAAAACTATCTAGACCTGAAAAGATTTTCAGCAGAACTCTGTTAGCCAAACTCTATTCCCAGTCTGGCTGCAAAGCATTTGTGTTTCAAACTCTCATGACTAAAGCTAGGAATTAGCCATGGGCATCTCCAGTAAGTCATGGACAGGTCACAGCCAGTGAACAAACATCCATCGCAGCCAGAGATCTGTCCATGACCTTGAATACAAACACCCTTTACTAACTCTTAGCAGGAGGACCCAGGGTTGCTGCTGCACAGCAGGGCATACCTGGCCAGCCCCTGGGGCCAGTCACACTGGCACTGAACAAGTCACGGAAGCCATGATGCACATGCAGCCTTACTCAGGACGAATTTCACAACCAGAAGGGCTGGAATTTGGGGGTAGAATCCTGGCCCCCTTTTACAGTCAATGGGAAATTGGCTGGACTTCTCAAAGGCCCAGATGTCACTATTTTAAACAAAATGTTAGATCCGAGGAAAGCATAAGGCTGCACAAGAAATCTAGTCCTGTCAATCTGGTAGGTAACACAAGGGCTTAACTTATGCTTTGTCTTTAATGTTTTGACTGGCTGGTATTGGCTTTTAGTCCACTATTGTTGACATGTGTATTATGACCCACATTTTCCGAGACAAGACAAGAGAGAAAAATAGGACAATAATATAAACCCATGTGTCCATAAATGTTTGAGATCAGCAATTGTTTAACAGTCCCATGTTACTGTAACAGTCTTGTTAGCAAGAATACTTTTGGTTCATCTCTGCAGAAGCAGCATTTTAGTTTCCCATCTCAGTGATCTCTAGTTAAAGTGCACTCAATTTACTATTTTTTTAAATAAACGTTTGCTCTGGAGACTCAGTGTCGGATTCAACACGTTGCAGGGATGAGCTTTTATTGCCAGGAACTGGGGATTGGGGAGGGAGGCCCTGGCCTGCGCGGAGTCCAGCAGGGCTCCCACAAACTACCCGCTGTGTCGAGACAGAGGAGGGTTGGCCTTGTCCAGCATGAGCCCCAAGCAGAGCAATGCAGCCTTTGCCAGTTGCGGGACCTAGCAACTCGCACTTGATAAGCCAGCTGTGCAGGGACGGGAACGCTTGGCCTCGACGCTTGGAAGGAAGGCAGCCACGCCTGCCATGCACTTTGTGAACATGCTTGGGGCTGCAGAAAGGCCCAACGGAAGCACCGCTGACTGGGAATAGGAATGGCCGGCTATGGGCAGGAAAGATTGATATATGGAACACGCATCTTTCAGGTCGAGGGCCGCGGACTTTTATAAGAACCTTGTCTTTTTATAAAGGCATCAAGACCTGAGGTCCAGTATGGGGCGAAGACCCCTTCGGCTTTCGGGATTAGGAAATATCTGGAATAAAACCCCTTCCCCTGAACCACCTCCTCTACCATCCCTAGCGCAAGGAGTGAGTGCACCGCTTGGTTGAGAAGATCCCTGCAGAGGGACAGGGAAAGGGGATGGAAGGGAACAGAATGGGATAGAATATCCCACTTCCACCAGGTCAAGGACTCAGCGGCCCGATGTGATCTGTGACCAGGCATGGTGGAAGCTGGATAGACAACTGAAAAAGCGACATCCACAGATAGGACTGCGAGGCTGTCCCTGGGTGCACCTTCAAAATCCTGATGGGGAGCCGTGACCCTTGTGGGAAGGTCCAGCATCCCTGTCGGAGTTAGACCTCGAGCAACTCCCACCGTTCCTACCCCCAGTGTTTCTACTCCTGCCCCTGGAGAAGTCCTGTTTAGTGCCTAGTTGATAAGGTCGAGGTGGTGGGTGGGGGCCGAAGGGCCTCTTTTGCGAGACTGGTATATGTATGCCCAGCAACTTAAAGGTAGCTCTTGAATCTTTCAGGTTATGGAACTTGGAGTTTGGTCAGAAAGGAGGCCCGACCACCCAAAGGGCAGGCCCTGAATGGTGTTTTGTACTTCGGGTGGGATACCCAATATCTGAAGCCACGAATTCCTGCGCATGACTACAGCCATCGCTATAGCACATGACACGGAATTGGCCGAGTCTAATGCTGCCTGCAGGGCCACGCACAAGACAATCTTTCCTTCGTCTGTCATCGGCCCAAATTCTTGTCTGGCGTCAGACGGGAGGAGTTCCTTGAATTTTCCCAAGGCTGCCCAAGAATTACAGGCATCTCTACCGAGCAATGCCTGCTGATTCGCAATGCGGAGCTGGAGGCCTCCAGTAGCGTATACCTTGTGGCCTAGTAAGTGTAACCTCTTGGGCTCCTTGGCTTTGGGAGTATGTCCCAGTTGCCCGGCTCTCCCTATGGTCAGGGGCTTGCACCACTAGAGTACCTGGTGGAGGATGCGTAAAGAGGTTCTCATGGTCTCTGAGGGATGAAATACTGGCGTTCAACCCCTCTTGCTGCTGGGGGAATAGATGTCGGGGTTTGCCACAGCACCTTAGCAACTCTAGATGGTCCATTGGCTTCCAAAACGTCTACTGTCTTGTCAGACTCTCCTACAGCCTCCTTAGCCTGCAACTCCCCCCTCCCCTGACCTTTTGCGCTGCTTCAGGAGATCTTGATGGGCCCTTTCATCCAAGTCAAGTAAAGATGTGCCTGCCATGGTCTCACGTCGGGAGGCCGATAATTCCCTAAGGGGAGCCTGTTCCTCAGTGTCCCGTACGCACTCCTGACTAGGCAGCTGGACATGAGAGGAAAGGAAAAGGCCCGGTGGTTCCCTTTATGCCTTGACTCTGACCTAGGAGCCCTGGGCGTGGCCTGGCAGATGGGGCACCACGTGCAGTTGAGCAGACTGATGCAACTCTAGGCATAGGTGAGCCCTGGGCAGGATGACAGGCCCAAGGGGTCCAAAGGGCCATTGCAAGGGACGGCTGCCACTGAAATGGCCAGGAGGCTGGTGGAGGCAGAGGGGCAGTGCTCCAGACTAGCCCAACAGCCTTTCACATGGAGTAGCCACCCTGGGGAGGAGTAGCTGCATTCGTCTGGGAAAAGCAGTGGCCAGTCTGAAATACTCCTGACTGTGCTCCAAGAGGCATGTCCTGAGCTTCTCCCCCCAGAGACTCCTCCTCTTTCAAGCGACAGGCGTCTCCGTCGGCAAACGTTCCACTTGCACCTTGCACACGGGATTCCAAACCCTCCCTTCTGCACTTACTCGGAGAACTCCCCGCATATCCAGGCAGCAGCATAGAGCACCTCACAGATGCCGTTCCTCTGGGCGTTGCTGGCTATCAGATGGGCATTGTCCAGGAGCATAGCCATCTGGGAAACGGCAAACTTACGGATGGCTTTAACCCGGATAGCTACATCCAGCATCTGAGCCGCTATAAGGTGACCGTGCCGAGTACCTTCCAACCGGGTCAGTTCCACCAGGATGCTTATGTACCTAAGGAGGCAAAGGGGATACAATCTTAAGAGCAGGCAAGCAGATGATGCCATCACTACTTGTGTCAAAGCCCAGATGCAAAAGCACTTACCATTCGAAGTTGGTGATGTACTGGTAGTTGGACTGGCTACATATGTCTATGATTTTGGTGAGTAACTCATCTCGGTACGTTGTCCCTTCCGCTTTGTCCACATGAATCATCAGTTTCTTCACTATCTCCATCAGATTCTTTTTGGACACCTGTTTTAAGAATGAAATGAGACACGAACCACAGACACATGCACGTCTTTCACATTTCATAAAAGCCGAGGAAAAGCGTTGGAGCGATTTTATGCATCTGTGTATCTGTGGGTGAGACAAACATGAAAGATGCAGAGATACCAACATCATCTCCGGTGCTGGACTACTGTTCAATTTAGCTGCAGACAGGGACTGAATTTGTTTGTTGGAGTATGTCTGGATACCATTTGTGCTGGAACACCTGATCTAGCAGAGATTTATTGGCACAGGCTCAGAACTGAACTTGGTAGGGCCCTGACCACTAGATCAGAGTCATTTTCAAACCATAACTGCAAGGATACTACAGTGAAGCATTATGGATGTGATGCATCACATTTTAAAGCTAAAGCAAACAACAAACTTTCAGAGCCTTTTTCATTTTCAGTGTTTCCCCAATGACTGCTCCTTCGGATTCCCACCCCTTGAACGGACATACGATACGACTTCTTCAGCAGACCTGCCCTATGCGTGTATGCAGAGTCACATTGGAAAATGGAAATCTGGTTATTACTTTCACTCTTATTAGCAACGCAGACCCAATACAGGGGCTCAGAATTAGCATTACAATATGGCAATGACGCAGAAGCCTCAAAGAAGATGCAGGATTTTCAGCTCAGCCGTGCCAACCATTACATTTGTAAACTGATCAAATCTAAGAGATTTATTAAATCACCCCGCTACCCAGAAAACAATGCTAACTTTGTACGTCACTTATCAGAGCACAACTGCACTTGAACTTGCTCTGGGAACTTAATATCTTAACCAGTAGCACCCCAGCAGGGAATTCAGTGCAAGTTTGTGACCATCACTCATGCGACTATCACAGCACACCTCAAGCCTGACTAGTGTCTAGACGGAGGCCCTCAAGGAAGCGGAGGTGTTGCAGAAGTGCTATAGATGACTCAGTCTATGGCACTCTTCTTCCTGAGTCAGCGTGTTGGCAGAACGCCAGGCAGCATTGCTGGAAGGGCTGTCTTTTGAATAGGTAAAAAGACATCTTGACCTCCAGACCCCTAGGCCACAATAACTTGGTTAGACACTCTGCCCACGACCAGAAAAACACTTCAAATGAGACAACATCCTTTATCTGCACTCCAATGCTGGGATACTGACAATGAAGTCTGCCACGATCCACCCCTGCCAGTGTGTTTTCAGAGCTTTTTAGGTGCAAGGCATTTTATACACCAAGGTCATTACAGCAGTAACTTCGAAAAATCTACAAAATTATCTCATTAAACTATTTCTTTAGTCCATGCAGCAGGATTAAAAATTCCTTATAAAGGAGCAAAAAAACCACACACAACATGCGCGCGCACACACACACACTGGCCATGAGATTCTGTGTTACGCCTCAAGGCCAAAGAGGGGAATGGCATATTACAGTGGCTTAAAGCCAAATCTGTGTCCTGATCAGGGTTGCCACGTCTCCCTGACTGGCGGGAGTCTCCCAGAACCAGGGACCAAATCCCAGAGGCTACTGACACCAATCTGGGAGCTAGCAGACCACTAACTGTCCGGCTGGTGGCTCAGGAGGGCACGCTCCCCACCGGTCTGGCTTCCCATGGCTCCTGAAAACACTGGGAATGGCCAAGCTCCTACGCGCAGGGGCAGCCAAGGGGTCTCTGTACTGCCCCCCCCTCCGTGCCAATGCGAGCTCTGGGGCGGTGCCTGCAGGCAGGGGAGGTGTTCAGACCTGCCTGGCACCCTGCATCTAGGAACTGGATAAGCCGATCATTTCCAAGGGCCGCCCAAGGCAAGCACCATCCAGCTGGAGCCTGCCCAGAGCTCGCACCCCTCACCCCGCCTGCACACCAACCCCCTGTCACAGTCATTCTGGAGCCCCTCCCACACTCTAAATGCCTTGGCTCCACCCCCAGCCCTGGGAGGGGAGTGGGGAGAACAAGCATGGGGGGGGGGGGGAAGAGTGTCGTGAGCAGGGGCTCAGAGAAGGGGCAGCGCCTTAGGGGAGGGACAGGAGTGTTTGGGTTTGTGCAAGAGACAACTGGCATGCCTGGTCCTGATTTCAAGCAGCTCCTCAGCTACAGCATGACACAGGCAGTCCTGGAGCTTTGTCCGAGCTACGGCATCTGGAATTTCCAGAGCTCCATGAGCTACAGCGCCCAGCATCGCCCAGCCAAGCCATGATCTGCAACAAGTCTTCAGACAGCAGCCAAAGAGCTGTCTTCCGTGGTGCCTGTGATCAGGGGAATCTTTCCCTGGCATGCCAGCCCTTCCACCCAGCATAAAGGGGCTAAGAAAGGGCAAGGCCATCGCTGCAAGCATCTTTTGTAAGTGGGTGGGGAGATGCCCGGAAACATACCATGCCATACAGGAGATCTAATGCTCTGAGTCGGATGGATTCATCCTTGTCGTCCAGACACTGGAGAATGAGATCCTTGTGGGACTGAACTGACTTGGGATGAGTTTTCAGGATTTTGGACATTGCTAACAAACCCAGGTACTTCACTGTGGGAGGAAAGAGAAAATTATTCCAAACTCAGACGTACTGCATTGTTTCTTGCAAGCACAGGGGACTTTCAGATGGGCCAGCTTTCCCACCTAGCCTCCAATCCTGCATTTACTGCTGGAAATCAACTGGCAGAAAGAGCAACATTTACCAGTTAGAGAACGAAAAGAGCAACCTAACCTCAAGCCCTCCCACGTCAGTCAGGTCACAGACAATCAGGGACTGCAAGGAGAGGCAGTAACCGTGGTTCTCGGAGACGTGTGCACGACCTCCACGTAGGCCAGGTTACATTATTCTGGCCAGCAGTGTTGGTTAGAGCATTTACACCTACACACCCTCAAGTAACTTCCCCCAGGACTGGAGCTGGAGAGATGCCTGCTGTAATAGCAGTGGTGGCTGGTACCATGAAGGAATTAACAGCTGTGCAGAGTAAGAGACTCGAGGTGCATGGTCATAGGAAGACCACGCCAGACTGAAAATTGCTATGGAGCATCTGGGCTGCCAGGTCAGCTGCACTGCTAGCACCAACATGGGGACTGGATGAAGTGCAGAGCGTGACCTGAGACGTTACTGCATGTGCTCAGTGACTGGGTTCTGCCCGAGTGTGAGGGAACTCCGACAGCGCACACAGAACCACTGCATGGACAAGGGGCCGTTCTCGGAAGGCGAGGAGACATTTATAGCTCTCTCAACAGATGCTTGCAACAAGTTCTTCACTAAAAAGGTGTGACGGTGCGTTGGGGGTCCCCCGTCTCCTGCACCCCGAAATGGTACGAACAGACTCCACCAGCCAGTAGAATAGAGGTGGTTTATTGCTTCTCCAGGATACAGCACAGATGTCATCAGGTTACAGGGCAGGCCTAGGATGCCTCAGCCCTCCTTGATATGGGGCAGGGGTCTCGGCTTCTAAACCCCCCAGCCTTTGCTGAGGCTGCTTCCTCCATGCTCCCAGACAGAAACTAACTCACTCTCCTCCAGCCCTGCCCCACAGCCAGGGCAGCATTCACCTTCCTTTGTTCCTCTCCATGGGGGTTAGCTGGTCAGACGGGTTGAGAGGGCCTCTTTGCATAATGACCCATCCCTGTCCTTCTGGGCTGTGATACCTGCGGCAGCCAGGGGGGTTACCACAGACCCACAGAAACCAGCAAGTTCCCCCCCACTACGTCACAAAAGGGTTTAAATGATTTTGTCTAGAAGTAACTTATGCCAAGGCATTTCCCAGCACTAACAGCCTGGTAATCTTGGATTTTACCATTACTCTATGGAATAACTAGCTTTTCTTGGGTGTGCTTGCTCACTGGAAGATTTATGAAGAGAAAACCCAGGAAATGGAAAAATCTTTGTTTTAGATTTAGCATCCCGTAAGTGGCACTACTATTCATCTACTTAAACAGCTAGTTGTACAGATTAGTTGATTTTCACTATTCATAATTATTAAATTCCTTAGGCCACATGCACCAATCCACACAATACTGGGCACTCTACAATACTGAACTATCTGTTTTCTAGAACTGCTTTTAATACTGCTGCAAGTGAACCCCATCCAACTGGCTAATGAAGCCTGTGGGAAGAAAAGCAACACTTACAGTTCTGATCAGAGTCTTCTATTAGTATTCTTAACTTCTGAACGCAGAGCTAGAAAAAAGTGCAAGTCAGGATTAACACGAGCTTCGAGAAGACTACTGAAACGATTTTCGTGCTCGACATTATTCACTGCAGTAGGGTGGGTGTGAGACACGACAAAGCAGTGTTACAGGATCTGTGACCACTGTTAAGACAATATTGTCACGTTAACATCACCAGATGAAAGGAACATGGGCCACCACTGACTAAGTGACACTGATCAGAAGGACTAGCAAAGCTCCAAAATTGACTTGGTCTTGGGCATCTGGCCTTCACTGCCCCAAACTGCCTTTAGGGAGAGCACGTAACACAGATATCGAGGAAAGGAAGTTTAGGAACCCAAAACACGAACTGGATAAAAGCCAGACAATGAGCAAAACTGTCTAATCAGCAGGCTCCCGTTTCAAACATCTGGAGTATTGCTCCCCCCCAGGTTTCTGAAGAGGTGTAACATGGCAGAATAAAACCACGAAGAGAAGTGCTGTACCTGGATGCTGGCACTGTGATTGGGCATCCCAGAGGATAGAGATATCAGAACTGAAACACACAAGCACTCAAGTTACATTTGTTCAGCACAATGACGTACAAACAAAATAAAACTGAATACACAACATCTGACTTGGCTCTTGTATGAAGGTGTGGCTTGGTGGTCTTGCCCTACTGCTTTCTGGCTGCCATGCACATAAGCACATGATTTGGTGCAACGTCAACACAGCTGTGAAGTCTGTTCAAGCAAGGCCCGAGAATAGACTCGTGCGATATTGAAGAACAAAGGGAGGCATGAGGGGAGCTGCCAAAGAGCGCTATTTTCAGGGCTTTGCCCTTGCCAAGGGGTTGCCTGAGTCTCTTTTACAGTTTCCATCTAGCTACCCAGATGCTACATAAAAGGTCACCAAGTGTCTGCACCCCTGGATTTCTGACTCTGCTTCCCCTGGAAAAATGGGACAGCAGTGACTGCTACTCAAAGTAACCACATTAAACCCAATTAAGTTAGCAAAAGCCATAGGGGATAAGGCAGCTTTCTTGTTGATTACAGTGGGCATCTGAGCTCTGGCAGGGTATGACTCCATGGCAAACACCCCGGGGAGAAAGCTCCTTTTTACTTAGCCAGTCTGTCACTTGTGAGTATTCAGACATATCTGCAGACTCGAATCACATGAGAGTTTTTAATCTTTATCCCCTGCAGAACCCCCCACGTTACTGGGTGAGGGTGTTGCTTTCTTTTGTGGCTCCTGCATCAGCAGAACTGTTGGTTGGAGGATCTGTAAGGCACGTATGGGAAGGTGCTGGATAGTAGGGATGTTGAAATGTGGGTAATCGTGTCAACATGTAACCACTAAAAAACTCAGCAGTTACAGTTACACACACCTGCGGAAGGCTCCCCGGGAGCCAATGTGTGCAGGGAAGCCAGCTTTTAAGTCTGTTTCCACAATAACTGGCTCCCGCTTGCCTCCCTGGGCTGCTGCCTTTGATACAGAAGCAGCAGCATAGGGTGGCAGCCAGCTCCCCAGGAGCAGGGTGGGAGCCTGCATGTAACCATGAACGCTAACCAGTAAGCCCAGGCTTATCGGTTAACCGTTTACACAGTTACATGCTCACATCCTTACTCGATACAGGTACAGAACTTAATATTTGTATTTGCTGGGGTTTGTGCATTTGAATTGTGCTTTATTTAAAAGACTTTGAATATTTTATTATTGCTGAACTTTGTTTGCTTTTTATAGAATCATAGAATACTAGGACTGGAACGGACCTTGAGAGGTCATCAAGTCCAGTCCCCTGCCCTCATGGCAGTACTGTCTAGACCAGTGGTCCCCAACCTTTTTAGGTTGTCAGGTGCCAGGGGGCGTGGCCGTTTGCCCGCCGGGCGCCAGGGGGCGGGGACACTTGCGTGCCCGGGGGCGGCCCCCCCATATCAGTGTGCCCAGGGTGGGGCCCCCCCCATAGCTGCATGCCCGGGGTCGGTGCCCCCTCTAAGGGCCACATGCCCGGGGCTGGCGCACCCCCAAAGCACCGCGCGCCCGGAGCTGGCGCTCCCCCCCAAGTGCCATGCGCCTGGGGCCGGTGCTCCCCCCCTCCAAAGCACCGCGCGCCTGGGGCTAGCGCCCCTTCCAAATGCCGCACACCCAGGGCCGGCACGCCTCCCCTCCCCCCCCCAAGCACCATGCGCCCGGGGCCGGCTCCGGCACCAGCACCGGCACCATGCATGCGCCACGTGCCCAGGGCCAGGCCAGCCCCGAGCACTTGGTGGGCGCACACAAATGCCCCCGGGTAGGATGTTTTTCCTAATGTCCAACCTAAACCTCCCTTGCTGCAGTTTAAGCCCATTCCTCAGAGGCCAGGAAGAACAATTTTTCTCCCTCTTCCTAATGACACCCTTTTAGATTCCTGAAAACCACTATCATGTCCCCTCTCAATCTTCTCTTTTCCAAACTAAACAAGCCCAATTCTTTCAGTCTTCCTTCATGAGTCATGTTCTCCAGACCTTTCATAATTCTTATTGCTCTTCTCTGGACCTTCTCCAATTTCTCCACATCTTTCTTGAAATGTTATGCCCAGAACTGGACACAATATTTCAACTGAGGCCTGATCAGCGCAGAGTGGAGCGGAAGAATGACTTCTCCTGTCTTGCTCACAACACACCTGCTAATGCAGCCTAGAAGCATGTTGGCTTTTTTTGCAACACCGTCACACTGTTGACTCATATTTAGCTTGTGGTCCACTATGACCCCTAGATCCCTTTCTGCCGTACTCCTTCCTAGACAGTTGCTTCCCATTCTGTACGTGTGAAGCTGATTGTTCCTTCCTAAGTGGAGCACTTTGCATTTGTCCTTATTCAACTTCATCCTGTTTACCTGAGACCGTTTCTCCAATTTATCCATATCACTTTGAATTGTGACCCTATCCTCCAAAGCAGTTGCAAGCACTCCCAGCTTGGTGGTATCTGCAAACTTAATAAGTGTACTCTCTATGCCATTATCTAAATCGCTGATGAAGATATTGAACAGAACCGGTCCCAAAACAGATCCTTGCAGAACTCCACTTTGTTATACCTTTCCAGCAGGATTGTGAACAGTTAACTACCTTCTGAGAACGGTTATCCAGCCAGTTATGCACCCACCTTATAGTAGCCCCATCTAAGTTGTATTTGCCTAGTTTATTGATAAGATCATGCGAGACCGTATCAAATGCCTTACTAAAGTGTAGGTATACCACGTTCACCGCTTCTCCCTTATCCACAAGACTCGTTGTCCTATCAAGGAAAGCTATCAGATTGGTTTGACATGATTTGTTCTTAACAAATCCATGCTGGCTGTTGCCCTATCACCTTACCATCTGCCAAGTGTTTGCAGACTATTTCCTGCTCCATTATCTTTCCTGGCACAGAAGTTAAAGTGACTGGTCTATAGTTCCATGGGTTGTTCTTATTTCCCTTTTTATAGATGGGCACTATATTAGCCCTTTTCCAGTCTTCTGGAATCTCTCCTGACTTCCATGATTTTTCAAAGATGATAGCTAAAGACTCAGATACCTCCTGTATCAGCTCCTTGAATATTCTAGGATGCATTTCATCAGGCCCTGGTCACCTGCAGACATCTCACTTTTTTAAGTGATTTTTAACTTTTTTTTTTAAATTTTATTTTCTAAACCTACCCCTTTCCCATTAGCATTCACTACGTTAGGCATTCCTTCATCAGACTTCTCGGTGAAGACCAAAACAAAGAAATCATAAAGCACTGCTGCTATTTCCAAGTTTCCTGTTACTGCTTCTCCCTCCTCACTGAGCAATGGGCTTACCCAGTCCATCATCTTCTTGCTTCTAATATATTTATAGATGTCTTGCCTTTAGCAAGTGTGGTATTGTTTCTCTCATATATACTCACAGCTGAGAATTTCAGTTTCAATTTTATATTATATATCTGACTTAAAGTTCACTATGTGATTTAATTTGGTTACATTAAGCAAATTAAAACTGTAGGTAAAAAGGGATTTTATAGTGGACGTTATTTAACTGCTCTGTGTAAATCTAACTTGTTCTTTTTGAGATTAAGAGTTTCAAAGTTCTCACCTGCTATCACTGTGTTCACACATTCGTACAGAAGAGACATGGCCGAGGTGCTACAAGGAAGAAAGAAATCAAGTATTTCAGATAAAGAACAAAAATAACAGTATGAAGGAGTTCTCAGCAACAACCTGGATCTAGTTAACACCTTTTATTACACAGAACATTACCAACCTTTTCCTCCCTCCTCTATATATTTTTCAACTAGATGAAACAATTCTCATTCTTCAGAGCATTCAATAGCCAGGGATCATTGAATGCAATTGCATTTCTGGGGCGTGGGCTGGGAAACAGCTAATGTCTCAATCCACATAACCCACACCTGAGATAGCCAAAAGGTTTTACTTGACACCATTTCTCCTCTGGGAAACAAGGAAGCAACAGCACCATCATTTGAGTTGAGAGGCAAGTTAAAAGCTCAAGATCACAGCATCAAGGGCAGACCACAGACCCAAACTCAGGTTAGAATGGGGATGTAAAATCCTGTTTAACTGATTAACCAATCAAACGGGGCACAGGCCAGGCTGGCGTGCCCTCCCCCTGCCATGGCAGACAGGGGCTGCTCCAGCCTGGTCCTGTCTGTGGCAGGCCCAGGTGTGTTGCAGACAGGCTGCTCTGGGTTGTCTGGAGCAACCGTGTTGCTTACCGGTTAATCAGCTAACCGGTTAACCTTTCAGATGCCTA